TCACGCACCGAGTGAACACCCTTGGGGAGAGAGAGAGCCCGAATGGAAGTACCCGGAACTGCCAGTGGTGACCCCGATAGGCAAACCTGAGAAAGCGGCGATGTTCTGCCGCAATAGGCACATGAAAATATGCATCCTTCAGGTCTACAGACGTGAACCATTCTTCCCTTGTGACAGCTTGAAGGACTTCTGCTGTTGTGAGCATGTGGAAGGGCAGCTCCTTTAGGTACTGGTTGAGTCCCCTCAGGTCTAAAATGGGACGAAACCCGCCCGTCTTCTTTTGCACAAGGAAGTAAGTCGAGTAATAGCCCCTGGGTTGTTGCAGAGGGTCCACTGCCTCTATTGCGCCCTTGGCCAGGAGGGCGGAAAGTTCCTGGTCTAGTGCTTGAGCTTTCACCGGGTCGGCGATTACAGTCATCTTGACCCGGCCTGAGATACAAGGCCGCCGTCGGAACTGTAGCCGGTAACCATGGGTCAGAGTGGCAACCACCCATGGGTCCACGGCGTGAGCAACCCAATAGCTGAGCTGCTGGTGGGAGAAATATCCGACGGTCGGCCTGATGGCATCACCGTCTCCCTCCACGACCCCTAGGGGCCGTGGGGGGGGCGGCAGCCAGAGTCCCTGGTCCGAGCCTGCCCAGCTGGTCGGTGGACCAACCCACGAGAGCTCCTGCTGGGCCTTTGCTGAACCGCATGAGGGTAAGGACCACCCGGCCGGTTATGACCCCCAGGCGGCGGCTGCATGCTGGAGCCAGCCGACAGGTGCCTTGGATGCCGAGGAGGTGGAGGGGGCATTGGCCTGCTAAGGCTTGAAAATTGCTGCCTTCTCTGTCGTGCCTGGACAGTCCGTTCCAGTGCTTCCAAGGCAGCCGAACCGAACAACTCCCCCGGCACCACTGGGACATTACGGAGGGCTCTACGGCATGGCTCAGTCAATGCTGACTGAGCTAACCAGACCTGTCGGCGAGCTTGGACCAAGGAGGACATCACACGCCCAAGCTCCCTCGTCATTAGTGCAAAGGCCTGAAGCGCTGCATCGTTAAAGCCCATCGCTGCTGTCGCACCACTAGTCCCCTGAAGGGACGCGGAGAGGGCAAGCATTAGGTGTGCCAAGGAATTACCTAGGCGGCCAGCACGCGCTCCGGCGGCATAGGCTCTGCAGAGGAATTCATCCGTGACACGACACTGAGCTCATGGGCACCGAACATGACTGCGCAGAGCTTCATCTGGTGACACGATGAGAGAGGCAACAGCAGGTTCTATCGCTGGCATGCGATCCAAGCCTGCTGCAGCCGGCTCATGCATGGCCGCCAACACTGCCATCTGCAGAGAGGCGCGCAAAGGCCTTGGGGTCCCGCCAGCAACCATGCAACTCCCTCAGGAACTCCTCTGATGGAGGGACAGAAAAGGAAGGAGGGGTCAGTCCGCGCCTGAAGAAGGCACTTCCAGGGGTGGACGCCTCTGGTTGCGGGACGTCCAGCTGCAGTTGTCTCAGGGCCATACGCATAATGTCCTGCATCGAGCCGTCACCCGACCCACTAACTGCACTCCGAGAAGAAGAGAGTGAAGCTGTCTCTGAGACTCGAGATGAATGCCCGTCCTCCTCACCTAAAAAGTGAGAGGCAGAGGCAGCCAAGGATAGCACATCCTCCTCCACAGCCAGTTCAGGCATGGGTGGGGAGGAGAGTCCAGTTGCTGCCACTGGTTCGGTTCCCAGTTGGTGTACCTGAAAAAGGGACTTCATCTCCGCTAATTCAGCGGAGAGCTGCTCCACCCTTGTGGAGAGGCCCCTATCAGACCTGGCTCGCTTCTTCCCAGGAGGGGCCACAGAGACTGCGGCCTCAGTCCGGCGCTTCGAGCGCCTAGGTGGAGCCTCCTGCCCAGAAGGCGGGAGGTCATCGCCGAGTTTGGGGCGAAACTGGGCCAGCCGGGCCGCCCTCACAGCATGCGACATGAAGCTGCAATTCATGCAGGGGTTCTCTGACAGGGCATCCACCAGATGGTCATGTCCAAGGCAGGCAGGACACAGGTCGTGACCGTCATCTATCTGGAGCATGGCTCCACAGACTGTACAGCAGTGAGAGCCGTCCATGCTCCTTACCCAGCTATGCCCAAGATATTCAGAGGGGCTAGCACCACTAGCTCAGCTGGTAAAAGAGGACAATTGGGAGAGGGGGCGCGAACGCTCGCCTTCACCAATCAAAACAAGGTCAAAACTCAGAGAGGCTAGCACCACTAGCTCAACTGGTAAAATAAGACAATTGGGAGAGGGGGCGCGAACGCTCGCCTTCACCAATGAAAACAAGGTTAGAACTCAGAGAGACTAGCACCACTAGCTCAACTGGTAAAAGAGGACAATTGGGAGAGGGGGTGAGAACACTCGCCTTCACCAATTAAAACAAGGTTAGAACTCAGAGAAGCTAGCACCACTAGCTCAGCTGGTAAAAGACGACAATTGGGAGAGGGGGTGAGAACACTCGCCTTCACCAAATAAAACAAGGCCAGGAACTCAGCTGGCTACGTAATAAAACTTCGGAGCACGGTCCAACCGACCACGCGGTTGGAGGCCTCCAGTAAACAAGAGCGGAGCGAACGCTACCGCTAACCAATAGCAAAATATAAGCAAAGAACCACTACTCACCAGTGTTAAATCACACACATAGTAGTCATAAACAACGTCGGAGCACAGTCCAGCCGACCACGCGGTTGGAGGTCTCCTAACAAGCGTGAGCGGAGCGAACGCTACCGCTAACCAACGGCGAAATATAAGGAAAACTACTCACCGGTGTTGAATCACACACATAGTAGTCAGACGCTGTAATTTGGGAGAGGCGGAAACCGCCGTAGTTCCCAACGAAACAGCAGAAATACCTTTGAACAGGGTTAAACCGTCGCAGCCCTAGGAGGGCGAACACGCTACTCCCGCAAACGGGCAGTCGGGCTTCCGACGACGGTAAAAAGTTCAGAAAAGGTCCAAAGGGCTGAAGCCCTGAATTGAACCGCGCGCGAGAAGAAAATAGGAGCAGAGCAGCGGATGACGTCGGGCTATATAGCCTCTGATTGGTCATCCGTGTCACACCTGTGACTCCGTTGGTATTATTACTCGAATCAGCGCATGCGCGAAGGGAACATTCAGTGCTTTCAGCACCGCCCTCTGGCGGTCAGGAGGGATGAAATAGAACTGCTTGGAATAGAAAAACACCAAAGTTAAAAAATAAAACTCACAATTTGTACTGTAATGTGCAACGTAATTTTATTCTTGTTAGAATTAATAGTAATTACAAAATTGGTACCGAAAAAAGAACCGCCCAGGAACCGACACCGGTACCGATTTTTTTAGAAAGGTACCCAGCCCTAGTGAAACCTTTATAATTTTCAGTATTTCTGCATAAATTTGACCTAAAACATCATCAGATTTTCACACAGTCCTAAAAGTAGATAAAGAGAACCCAGTTAAACAAATGAGACAAAATATTATACTTGGTCATTTATTTATTGAGGAAAATGATCCAATATTATATATTGTATTTGTGATGGTAAAAGTATGTGAACCTTCAGGATTATCAGTTAATTTGAAGGTAAAATTAAAGTCAGGTGTTTTCAATCAATGGATGATGATCAGGTGTGAGTTTCACCCTGTTTGATTTAAAGAACAGGATCTATCAAAGTTTGATCTTCACAACATGTTTGTGGAAGTGGATCATGGAGGAACAAAGGAGATTTCTGAGGAGCTCAGAAAAACAGATGTTGATGCTCATCAGACTGGAAAATGTTACAAAACATCTGTAAAGAGTTTGGACTCCACCAATCCACAGTCAGACAGATTGTGTACAAATGGAGGAAATTCAAGACCATTGTTACCCTCCCCAGGAGTGGTGGACCAACAAAGATCAAGAACAAGGACTGGAATAGTCAGTGAGGTTACAAAGTACTCCAGAGTAACTTCTAACAACTGAAGGTCTCTCTCTCACTGACTGATGTTCATGAGTCCATCAGGAGAACTCTGAACAACAATGGTGTCATGGCAGAGTTGAAGAAGAAGACACTGTTCTCCAACAAGAACATTGCTGCTCATCTGCAGTTTGATAAAGATCATGTGGACAAGTCTGAAGATTGTTGGAAGAAAGTTTTGTGGACGATGAGACCAAAATAAACTTTTTGGTTTAAATGAAAAGTGTTATGTTTGAAGAAAGGAAAACTCTGCATTCCTGCAGAATATCCCATCTGTGAAACATGGTGGTGGTAGTATCATGGTTTGGACCTGTTTTGCTGCATCTGGACCAGGACGGCTTGTCATCATTGATGAACAATGAATTCTGAATTATATCAGAGAATTCTAAAAGAAAAAGTCAGAACATGTGTCCATGAACTGAACCTCAAGAGAAGGTGGGTCATGCAGCAACACAATGACCCTAAACACACGAGTGGTTCTACCAAAGAATGGTTCAAGAAGAATAAAGTTCATGTTTTGGAATGACCAAGTCAAAGTCCTGACCTTAATCTAATCCAGATGTTGTGGAAGGACCTGAAGCAGCAGTTAATGTGAGGAAACCGCCAACATCCAGAGTTGAAGATGTTCTGTACGGAGGAATGGACTAAAGTTCCTCCAAGGTGAGCAGGACTGATCAGTTACCAGAAACATCTAGTTGTAGTTATTGTTGCGCCCCCCGCAACAATATCTGGGTGTCACACCAGATACTGAAAGCAAAGGTTCACAAACTTTTATCACTTACAAATATATAATATTGGATCATTTTCCTCAATAAATATATTATCAAGTATAATATTTTGTCTCATTTGTTTAACTGGGTTCTCTTTATCTACTTTTAGGACTGTGTGAAAATCTGATGATGTTTTAGGTCAAATTTATGCAGAAATATAGAAAATTATAAAGAGTTCACAAACTTTCAAGCACCTCTGTAGTTTGTAAACACCCACTAAGATCACATATCCAACAGAACTGTCATCCTGCTGTGGCATGTAGCGGCACATGTACTTACAGAACAATGGGAGATATAGTGAGGAACTTGCGTGATGAGGTGAACTGGACACCGTAGTCCATCTGTTCCCAGTGTGTGAGCAGGCGAGCTTTGCCTTGGTCTGGAGTTTCAAAAGGAGTTCCCTTCACTGTGTGTAGAAACACATACATGGCCTGCAGAGGAGACAACACACAGCAAAATACCGTCAGACACAAACACTTTGGCTTCAGTTCAGCTGGTCTATAAAACCTATAAGACAAGGTTCTGTTGCAATCTGCAGAATTATAGTGGACTGTACTTGCATAGTGTCTTTCTATCTTTTCAAGACACTCAGCTCTTTACAACACAATCTGTGTCCTCATTTACACATTCATACAGCACTACTAGATCTATACAAAGAATAATCAGAGCTTTATCACATTCGTACACTGATGGGACACACAGATGCAATGAGGGGTTCAGTGTCTTGCCCAGGGACACTTTGGCATGTGACTGTTGGTGAAATTGAACCCCCAACTCTTGCATTGGAGAACGACTGTTCTAACCACTCAGCCACAGCCGCCCCTATAGTCACAGTTCACCTGGCTGACTGTTTAATAAATTGTGATATTTAAATGTTCATAACCCACACGTTGCAATGCTGCTTAAAAAAATAAAATAAAGTGGATTTATTATTTTAATAATAATAATAATATTTTGGAGGGGCCATATCATTCTTCTTTCTTCTCTTCCATCTTGAGGGATCTACACAGCAGGTCCTCCTCACTCCAACTACCTCCATGTCCTCTCTAACTGCATCCATATATCTCCACTTTGTCTTTTTCCTGGCAGCTGCATTTCTAACATTCATCTACCAATATATCCACTGTCCCTCCTCTGGACATGTCCAGACCACTGTCCCTCCTGTGGACATGTCCAAACCACTGTCCCTCCTGTG